CTGCACAGAATATTCCATCACCCAACGCCAGTTTCTCAGGTAGAGAACAAGAACACACAGTAAAGCTGTCTTAAAAGACTGGCAAAGGCACCCAGTGGATGTTGGTCCTACGTGACAGTCAGCATACACCTTCTGTTAACTTTGCTTTACAAAGCAGAGAAGAGTATTTTAAGGTGGCCGCTCAAGACAGAACAATCTGTAGAACAGGTTTCTCTGTACATTAAATACATGATCTCTCCCTAAAATAAACCCCACACATTCCATGGTGAGACTATGAAAGACAGTACAAATCTGTGCTCCAGCTTTCTCGCGTCTCCTCCCATCTCACTCAGACACCTTTCATCACCTGAGACAATGGAGCAATGGAATCAGTGTACATTTAAAAGAAAAGGGTGCCTGGCAACTTACTCTATCTGCTTGTGGACCCTGCTCCAGAGCCATTTGCTGGGGGGATTCGGCAACGTTGCCGAGCACGGACAGGTTGGTGGGATTCATGCTCTGAGCAGCAGCAGGCAAGAGCACAGTGACCTAAAATTATAGGCACTCATTTTAGCACTGCGTCATTTCCATCAGTCACTTACATACGGGCAGTGCCCTGCATGCAAAGCTCCATGGAGTCCTACACTACGTCAAAACCTGCAGCATTGTAATGATTTTTTTTTTTTTTTTGTAGGAATGATGGAGTTGGACAAAACCTGCAGATCCAGGATCAAAGGGAAAGGCTTCAAAACTCAGTCTAGATTTTACAGCTTTTGAATTTCCTACCTCCCACTTTTGGCTTAAAAAGTTAAGGTCCTACCCAGCGGGGGTTCAAACCACACTAAACACACACGAGTTCTTTAGCTTTTAGTAAAACCAGCGATTTGGGGTCTTTTTCTCTTCTCTCTCCAAATTTCCTTTTGTTTGGTTGGTTTTTTTAAGGGAAGAGGTAAAGAAGGAAAGGGAAGCATCTCCTTTTTGCCTATCTTTCTCAAACCAGCTGAGATCCAATATAAAAACAAGATGATCTATTGACCTCAATGGAAGATCAAGCACTCAATGAGAGGATTCCAATAATTATTTTTTCTTTATAGTATTTGGTCACACTATCCATTTTTGGTCATTTTTATACTCTTCTTTTGTGCAGTAACAAGAAAATTAATGCATATTAACATACTGCTCCCATCCATTTAGCAATAAAACACAGCAGAATTAAGATCCTAGGAATGACCTTCCCTGTCTTTTGTTTACTGCTTATCTGTACAGGAATTTGCACCGTTATCCTGCGTGATTTTTCATCCTTCCCTACATCTGACATCACGCGGCTTCTAGTTTGTGCCTCTGACTGTTAAACAGCTTTTACACTAAAATTAGATCCCCTGCCCCTCCACAGAGTATCTAATAAATATCAGATAAAACCGAGAACAGTGAACTGTGCTAACAGTGAAGGAGCAGACAAGAAAATCCATAACCTAAGCAGACAGACAGCCTTAAAACTTCAAAACTAGTTGTTTTGTTTAAAGAGGTACTAAGAATAATTTATGAAACTGCTTAAAAACTACAGCAAAAAGACTTCAGGGAACCATGCGACAGTGAGGAAGAAACCGCCAAGACGACAGCTGAACCAAGCTGTCTGGTATTGACATTTTTGATGCCAAGTGGCGACGGAAAAGGCATCATTATTCAGTGGCACACCTCCAGGTCTGCCAGCAATGGGAGGTTCACACAAGCTTGTGTCTATTTGTACCTCATATTAGCATTTCCTACTACTAATCACACTTCAAACACACCCTTGCTTTCACTTCCATGTCAGACACTGCAAGGAATATAGGCATTATCTTTAAAAACATTTCCATTTCTTTTTAAAAAAAAAAGTTTCTTTTGAAAGACCAGAGGAGCTTTAATTATTATTTTAACATTTGCTGTCAGTTCAGGGATGTCCCACATGAAATGCTGATGTAAAAACACCTGCAAAGGCAGGAGCTGCCATAACGAGGGACTAACCATTCACAAGCAAGCGAACACGTCTGCTGGGACTGCTGTCAGATGGTGTCGGAAGGGAGGACGGGCTGAGGACACACAGACAAGAGCTCATGCCCTTGATACTCAACATGGGACAGTAACACCACACCACCTCTGCTGTCGGTGTGTCATTTGCACTGCACATATAACTAATCTCTACTTTTAATTAGATCATATTTGTTAGATGAGCTTCAAGACGATTAAATAGGATTTTTGGGCTTCTTAATGCAAGGAAACTGTTGTGGCAAAAAATTCCAGAATGACACTCCAAATACCTCCAGAAAACTGCAAGGAAACAGGTGACACCTTTACTGTGTCAGTCATATCGTTTTCTGCCTGTGCCTCAACAGTTTAGAAGGTCTTTTAGCAAGAAGAGAATTTATTTTCAGTGCACATTCAACCCTTCACTCTGCCCCAAGACTGTCAATAAATACGCATTTTAATGACTGCGTTAGTAATGATTCAGATCTAACATGTCAATTCACACATGCCATTAAAGACTCACCAAGCAGTAATGATTTTAAATCTCCATGACAAGCAGAGAATTTAAACTAGAGATCTAGATCTGAAAGCACCTATGCCCAATGACCACAACACAGTCCCCAAAGATATTGGTAAAAGTTAACAACAAAACCTTCCCATACATGACAGATGAAAAGAGAAAAATTATCAAAACTTGGCATCATCAAAACTTTAGAAAGACAGGGTCTAATTTTATTCCGTTCCTAGCCCACTTCACACTGGCAAGCACATCAGACCTGGGATGCCCTGATAAGCAAAGGCAGCCAGTAATTTAATTTCTTTGGGTTTTACAATTAATCTCCTGTGAAGTTTCTGGTAAATCTAGAATCTGATCCAAAATTTCTATCCCTTGAGAGCCTTCTATGAATTTAAAGGCATTTAGATCAGAATCTGTATGAGGACCCAGTCTTTCCAGAATGCCATTAAAATAAAGTCAGCCACATCAGCTTTCCAATGTAAATGGACAGTGTTAAAAGATTTTTCATTATAGCTGGGGCAGTAAATTAGTATTTTTGTTGAACATATGTAAAAAAAACAAAACCACCTCAAACACTGTTAACTTTTGTCTTTCATGCACAAACTAGCCAAGATAACAGCGGCTTGTTATCATAAGCTTTTTGCCCCGATCACTGGGATGACAGTACATGACTGAAGACTGCCATTTGACAAATTCAGAGTGCTTATTATGCTCTAGCACCACAACAACATCCCTTTACCTTTGGTAACAATTTCTTTACAGTTTTAGGCCCAAGGAAAATAACCTCTCTTTCTTACCTGCTGGGTGGTGGCATCCTGTTGGACGTAAGCCACTTGGGACGGATCTGTAAACAGAGTCTAGACAAAGTGAAAAAGGCTTATCAAACCGGCCTTGGGGTTGTTTACTCCCAACTCACACAAAAATTAGCCTGCCACCAAGAAGTGATTTACATTTGAGCCTTTGCTAGCTTCTAACAGGCCCATTACCACACCAGACTAACTCAACTTACCCATGTGAACCTACATGCATAGAGATTAAACTAAAATTAGATAGTGCTCCATAAAATGGGATCATCTTTACGTGGCACTTTTCATCTATACACTTAAAAGTGCTTCATGGGATATATTTTTAAATACAGAAACCACTTTGCCAATTGCTGATTTGATAAATTCTACAGAATGAAATTCAATAGCTGCATGAAAGCTAAGTAATACTTGAGGGCAGGACAGAAGATGACTATTAACTTTATCTTTCTGCAGATTCACAAGAGTTCCTCAAAAGAAAGCATGCAGGTATCCGGCATACCCTGTGTCTCAATTTGATATGGCCAGGATGCTGGGTTTTTAATTTCATAGAAGACATGCCAACTGCAATACTCTTAGAACAGCCTGCAAGAACAGCCCTGACGGGGGGGCTTCCCCCAAGGAAAAGCAAGATTCAGGTGAAAACTAAGTATTGACTGAGGTCAGCCTCACTTTGCCAAAACTTGAAATACCTGAGCTTGTAGTAGTCTGGCTCCAACAAAATAAAGCATGGCATAATAGAAATTCCATTAGCGCTTTGATAATTCCATCTCAGTTGCATGACTGTGTTTTAATACTACACTACTTTTGACAAAATGATACTATTCAGAGTTTTGGTGTCACTTTGTCAGTAACATCCTGGGAGATTTATCCTCTCAGAACACCCCCTGCCCTCTCAGAACACCCCTCCACATAGGAACTGGTTTTATGTAACAGCTACGAACTGCACAAGAGATGGCATCGCAGGAGGCTATGCCAGTGTTGCTGCGAGTGTCAAGTACGTGCATTTTGTAGCATTGTTAACCTGTCCTGGCAGCAAAGACAATATAAAACATTCTTGACAAAGTACGCCCGTTCTCCTTTTATCTGTCCACACAGAGGTACAGATGCATACTATATTAACGCCGTATAAACACACGCTGTCAGAGACTAAAAGCTATTTGATATAATTATGAAGAAAAAAGAACTGAGGCTTATAAAATCAACAGCTTCTCTGAAGAGAGACTACAAAATTAGACCAAATACACTGAGATCCTCTGCAAAAAGACATGACTGTTTTTGTAGCTACCAATTACAAGAACTGTACTATGCAAAACAAAGACTCTTCCAGAAGACACAGAGTTCGCTCTTTGCATTTTACCAAATACAACAGAGGCAGAATTTCTGGAGAGGTTATCTGTGTTTTGGAAAACGCCTTTGATTATAATTATAATCTCATCCACCTTGAGTGAAATAACCAGCATTTCATAATTCATAGCCTCGACAACCTTTGATTACCACATGGGCACATCAGACAAATGAACAGCATGAAGTCCCTGCTCAGCAACGGGCAGAAAAAAGGGTTAAGAGCAACTGCCTGCTATTTTCCAGTCGTATCACTTGGCTGGTAGCTGGCTTTCATCTCAAACAAGACCTTTAATTTTCTAGGTGCCAAAACAGGGTGGGCTCAAAACCACACATGCCTGCGTAGCTTCCACGGGATGGATGTAAACAAGCGTGTGCTCCGAGGTGTCCACGGAGGTGTAGGAGGTGCCATCCGCCGTGTAGACCACCTGCTGCGAGGGACGGTCCTGCTCATCACTGTACACAATCTGTGCCACTGTCCCCCCCTCAGGGACAAAGTGCACCTGGAAAAGAAAACCAAAACAGATCCTGTACTAAAACTTTTGCAGTCATACACCTACAGGAAACAACATAAAACACATTGGTTGCAGAGGTGCCTTGGAAAGCAGAGAGCGCCTCATATCCCAACTACCCAGCCAATTTTTTTTAACACACACGTTTAAAATCTCATCTGAATTACACTAGCAACACAGAAAAGCAGACGTAAGAACCACCATCACTTCCTGATTTTACTCTGTGTTTTAACTCAAGATTTAAGTGGTATAAAGGGCACCTTCCCATACTTAGTTCTCGCATGATGCTTTGAAAATTCATAAGAGAAAAAGTTCAGATTTGAACTTGTGTATCTATGGGATTTATTGGTATATTGTTTCCCTTTATTCTCATATTCCTTTCTGGATTTATGATAATTACTTCATTCAGCTAGTTCTGTAGTTAGAAGTAATTTTTTTCTGTGTGATGAACGGCTAACAAAACCTATTAACTTTGACACTGCTTCAAGTAATAGTATTGCACCTATCATGAGGAGGCAATAGTATATGTTGGATTGCTTCTCTGTAGTATATACATCCAGTATCAGTAGAAAATTCAACTATTTAAACAGAGAAACATGTAACTGGAAACATCAAGCAATGATTCCAAGCACTACTAGAACAAGTCAGGGCAGCAGGTTAAACCCAGACAAGTTGATGTGGAAAGAACATTATGATCATCACTGATGATCAGTGACCTACCTTAATCGAGATAGAACCCTTAATGCCAGTGGCAATAGGAACGTGTTTCTCTTTTGGCACCCTTTACATGCTGAAAACCATTTTCAGCGCATGGGTAAAATAGGACAGTTAGCAGGAAACCTAGTTTTCATATTCGTATTCCTATTCACATAAAATGTTTTCACATAAAAATGTAAAAACAAACCCTGTAGCATCATTTTATTTACTTTGTGTCACCTTTTAGCTTTTATTTTAGAAGACACCTGGTACTCCCCCGCAGATGCTAAGTGCTGATTCCGTACAATAAATCCTCATGCAAACACTATGGTAAGGATGCATGCAGTGTTTCACCTTTGGAGAGCACTCTGCAAATACTAATTAAGCCTTGTAACTGCCATGTGCAAACAGCAGTATGGTTATCCCATTGTACAGATAACAGAACACAGGCCATTGAAAAGTGCCTTTCTTTGCAAGTTTCAAAGCTGGAAATTACCAGGCAAGCCAGAATTTCCCCGCCCGTGGGTCAAATGACATGCAGCACCCGCTTCATAACATATTCAAAAGACTAAATCAATTTACAGTCTTCTAGAAATTCTCAGCTGCACTGTCTCAGAGACAGAGGGACTAGCTGCATACATCAGAATCTAACTGTATTAGTCACTAACAATTAACATTTCTCCCTTCCCCACTACCCAGATGTCTGACTGGAAAAAATTCTATTACTTTTCCCAAGGCCCACCCACAGTTCCAACCAGTTCAGCTGATGCCATCAAAATGGGCTGCCACAGACCACAGATTTTGCTAATATTCATTAATCTGAATACCCTCGCACTTTCCCACATGGTTATACATATATTTGGACACTGAAACTTCTATAGCCACCGGCTGGTTTCGTTTAGCTTGTTTCAGATGTCTGAGCATTCACTGCTGCGGTTTGCACAGCTCACTTTCTGAAGCTTGAATCCAAAAATCACCACAGACATGTGTGTATTTCTCCTCAAATGAAAGCTGAGTTTCCAGTCTGTAAGAAACAGTCGAATGGGCCCCGCCTGCTTGCTAAGCCTCCGCACCGAGCCCAACTCCGTCCGAGCAGAAACCGAGCGCCCTGGAAGGCACTAGTCACCTGAGCAGTATTCTGTTCCTGCTCAGCAGAGTCAGCCCACACCTGAGGACTTTCCTCTTTTGAGTCCATCTCCTCCCTGCCGTGATGCTCCATGAGGAGAGAGATCTACCAGAGAAATGTCTGGCTGAATAGATTCATCTGTTCACTGCGTTTGTACTTCCAGAAGACAGGGCGATCTTCAGTAACATGGCTATAAAAAAAAAAACACAACAAAACAGAAGAGATGGAGATATTAGAACAAATGTGACATAGGCAACAGGGATATAAAGTATTATCATCAACTACCGCACTACAGGAACACACTGCCAGAGTAAAGCAGGTTTGGCTTTACGGACACGTACTTTCTCATTTACCATGCTCAAGTGCTGCTGTATAATGCTTTCCATGTCCTGTTAAGGATGAAACAAGTCAAGCATTGCTACAATCGCACCAAAGGATTATACTGAATGCCTCCTGCACTGGAAGATTATACCGAATTCCTCCTGCAGTTCTTTCCTTGGCCACAGGCAAGCCACAAAATACTCTTCACATTGTCCTCCCAGCACCTACAGGCCCAGAAATCAATGAACGATGCAGAAAATTGGCCTTAAGCTTCCAACAAGAAAACACCACGTTCAGAGAGGCATCAGCAGTTTCTTGGTTCATCTGAAAGAGGTTTTCTTTCAGAACCAACTGGCTTTAAATTGACAGGCAGCTTTTACCTTGTACAAAACTGCCGTCCCAGTTGGTATTCAAGCAGTGTTACAGCAGACAACTTTTAGAAAAAGAACAATGAAACTTAAACTCTGATTCACGTGAGCCCAAAGATCCTGACAAATTGCTTCCAAGCTCAGTTTTATTCACCTCTCGCAATTTTACTGGGGCCTCTCAATCTGCCATTGGGAATCTCAGAAGTGTAATTTACAGCTCCGGTGATGGGTTTAGCCGGTGGTTCAGCACCTTCCCAATCTTCCATCTCTAATGTCATATTAAATCACAGGCCCAGGAATTAGCATGAAGCTGAGCCCATTTCATTTTTCAGCTAGTCCAATTAAGTTTATTTTCTACCAAGTGCCTTGCTGGGCTGATCCAATGCCAGTACTCTGACTGCGCACCAGGAAGAAAGCAGAAGGCTCCTTGCTGACGCTTTCATTCATTTGCATTTTAAATGCAAATTATTTTAGTCATAATTTATTCCCATAAATGCTAGCAGTTGGCTTGTCATTGACAAAACAAAAAAAAGATAAGGAGGAAGAAAAAAAAAAAAGAAGCAGGCACTTTCTGCCTTCTGCTAATTTTGCCAGCAATGGACAAGCTTCGCAGACCCGAGCACTGACTGTACCACTGGTTCTGGCCAGAATGTATAAATCAACAGTACGGAAAAGTCTCAGGCTAACGTCACTGAACTGCACAGTGGGGAAAAAAAAATCATATTACTGCCACATATACAAAGAAAAACTGTGGGAAAGATATTTCTGGGCATCGCTAGACTGTAAGTCATGCCATTATAGGCGACTAGAGCTTCACATTTGCTTTCTCATGCCGTGCAACACAGTACATGCGTGCCACACGGTCCCCCACACGAGCAAAGACTGAGGAGCGGTGTGATGGCTCTTCTGACTTCCTATTAGGCCCATACATCCTTAGGTTCTGAGATAAAGGAACAGAAATCCTACCTGATTTAATCCTACCTTGATACAAAACATCCAGAAAAAGCACTGAGGAGAAGAGGAAAAAAGAGAAGTACAGGTTCCTGTGCGCTACGCTTTAGCTAGGGGATCTCATTAGCGTGGAAAAATGAAGTGCAGCAGACGGCGATTAGGACTGGTAAACACCAGCCTTGCTCCCCAAGTGTTGAAAGCCAGGGTAATTTACAAATAAATATTATTTTTATATATATATATTACAGCACACACAAGCTCTGACATATAAACATCATCCATCCCTACATAGCACCTTTCATCAAGCTATCACAAAGCGACTTGTTATGTTATTAAGGATTAATTCAGGGATTTTCTCGTATCTAATACTACCACTTTCACTGAACTCCAGGGCTCATCTTATCAGGTATACGATCACCAAGAGATCTAGAACTGCTTGTGTGAAACGTGACAGCATTTATGTCAGTAACATTATCTGAGCAACAACTTTTACATAACATTAAATCCCTATCCTGTTGACATTCTTTGGCTGGTTTATCCCAAACAGCTCTTTTCTTGACTGTCATTATTAATCAAGAGCCAATTCAGGTAATTGCACTAACAATAGCCAGTAGTTTAATCAATTACCTAATTGCTTAGAAAAATAAAAATAAACGCTAGGGGTTTCAAGTTGGGGTTGGTTTTTTTTAATATAATTATCTTGTTAGTAATCATGCAATTAAATTAACCAGTGATTGAATTAAGAGGAAGGCACAGTTCTGGCTAATTCCACATGGTACAACAAGTAGCAGAATTTTTGGCTGACCTTCCATACAAGCAGATATTGAAGGTCTGAAAGAAGATGCTGACTCACTCCTGCAGGCTCATTTTGGCACAAATACCTTTCAACTTGAGTGGAAAAGAGACCAAAGGGTTCAGACAGGTCTTTAATAGACAAAACTGGGCATCAAGAGTCATATCTGCAAAAAAAAGTAGTACCAAAAAGTTGGCGAAGAAAGCAGAAGACGGCCATTTCAAGTTTTGCCATGGTCTTAAGAGTTACCACTAACCTGAGATCTCAGGGGGGAAAAAAGCAAGGCTGAGCCAAATTCAGTGGCTTGGTGGTGCAGTTTCTATAAGCGGTAGTCTTATTGCTATTCTTCACAGAAATAAAAAAATGCACTGCTCAGCCCAGCCAATTGTATAGCAATTTCAATTTCTGTACTTCAAAATACACCCTAGGTCCTGCACCTCTGGTATGCATTCCTACCAAAGACTGGATCTCCGTGACTTCTTATTATTGCTATCTTCACCAAAATACACAGAGAAGCACGTTTCCTTGGAAACATGGATGTGCCGAGTGAGAAGTCAGCGCGAGAGCAGATAGGCCACATCCCAGAGCGGTCCCAAGGCCAGGCAATAAAGAGGGCCGGAGGCAGGAGCAAGTGTTGAAATTTAGCTGGTACAAAAGCCAAAAGTGAAACAAGACCTGCAGTTCAGGTCAGGAGCTGGAAAGCACGACCCTGTCCAAACTCACCAACAACAAAACCTCCAGAGTTTTTTGTGACAATACAAACACCTGAGCAAGTTTTCCCACACTGATTACAGAAGAGACCAAAATAACTTTGCTCCCTTGTCCTCCATAGGATGCTCTCCCTCATTAATCCTGCATGATCCTATTTTCTTCCTTAAATCCCCCCCTCAATATCCATTACAGCTGTGACACTGACAGCCACAGCACCTTGAGATTTTAACAATTTCCCTCTGGTCCTCTCTCAGCAGAGATGTCTCGCTGCACGAGGAATCAGCAGATGTCCAGCTCAGCACACAGCCACAGTATTTTTTCAAATTAGCTGCAGAAGAATCATGATGAGTACGTTAGGGTATGTGGCATCGATGCTAAGCCTGTTAGCAATACCAGCTTGGGAGACACAGGTCAATAAAATACTTATTTTCTTAAAGGGTCTAGCCAGAAGCTTCGTTGGTTGTTTTTTTGTTGTTGTTTTTTGGGTTTTTTTTTTTGGGGGGGGGGGGGGGGTGGTTTTTTTAGCAAAAATAAATGTGAAACTTTGGGCATAAGCTTTGCCAAACAGCTGGCATGGAACGGGACACTCTCCTTGCTCTCCACACTGTTTGCCCATGGATTATCCTTTACCTCTGTTGATTTTTCTCCCCATCTCTCATGCACCAGACATTTTCAGACAAGCTGAGTGCCAAGGCAAGGGAAAGTTCTGCAGCATCCAAGGGGAACACACACACACTCACGTTGTGAGACCTATCGCCCAATATATCAACTGCAATTCTGTCACTACCCCGATGCTTGCGTACAACTTCTAAGCGGCATGCTCATGAGCAGGAAGCAATGCCAACATATGAGATGCTAAACCATTTCAACAAACTGTGAAGACACCATTTTCCTCTCCAAAATAGCAGGCGTGCCTCACCCAGTCCATGCTGGGTGATGGCACAAGCTGAAATGGTAACAGGTATAAATATAACCCGGTACGTCAGCGGCATGATGCAGTGTGTCACATGTAACGTGAATCGAGATACAACGTGAAATCAAGAACCCACAACGCTCCCATCCCTTTAAAAGGCACATCTGAATTCAACACTGACGTTAACCTCGCACATACCCAAATTCTGGTGCGCATCCTGGCACAGAAAATATCTACTCTGGTGGAAGATAAGCACATTCTGACTTGTGTTTGCTGGAGTTCTGAGACGGCACCCATGGGTGCTGCCCTTGAGCTCCCTACGACATGGCCATGTTCTTCACAGGTCGAAGTACGCTCAGAGTTAGGAAGCTGTGCTTATCTCTCGGCGAGGCTCATCAGTGCAGGAACAGCCTGGTGCTCACCACAACTAGAAAGCATCCAAAGTAGAGATGACACGCAGGGCAGGACGAGTGTTCCCAAACACGCCTGTGCACCCATAATACCCCGCTGCCTGCCTCATCAGGTAAGTGCGAGTAAATGCACCACCTCTTCAAGACAAAACAGGTTCGTTTCGGTATGCCATTCACATTTACCTTCCTTTCCTCAACACCCTCTGGGGACCTGCTGGTGTCAGAGACCTATGGCCTTCCTCTTTAGTTCTTGCCTTTTATATCCGATCCAAAAATCTCATTAACAGTGAAGCTTCTTCTTTGCAGCACCCGATGCCTGGAAAGCGTCTTTGTGTCATTGTCTCAACAGTTCTTCCCCTTTTTGGAAATTCTCACTTGAAAACTCCTTTTGACCACCGCGATGCTCTCCAACCCCTCTCTCCTGCTCCCGCAGCACGTTGTTTTCTCCAAAGCTGTATTATTAAATCAGCAGCTTTCCCCATTCGCTGCATTCAGCTCCGGAGGATGAGAAAGCACCGCTCAGGGGCAAAGCACCTCATTCACCATCCAACAGCAACGTCCTCATTAGCCTTGCTGTCCTCAGCAGAAGACACCCCACCCTCAGCCATCACAGCACCCACACCATGTCACCCTGTAGGTGGCACCTATGGGCCCGAACACCTAGGGAGTGGGAGCAAACGGTGCTTTAAGAGAAAACCTCCAATAACAGCAGAGCCACTGTTCTTTTTTTTTTTTCTATTTGGCGTGTAAGAATTTTTGACGCAAGTTGAATATCGTGAACTCACACGGCGCTTCAAAGGAAAGCTCAGCTCTGAAATTCAGAGAAAAGCATCACCTGAAAAAATTTAAAAAAAAAGGATCAACAGTAGCCACATTTTCTTGGCATACTTGCTATTAAGGAATGACAATTTTTTTCGATGCTGGGACTATGTAAGAAGATACACAGATAAAAACTCTGGGGACTTCATCTGCAGCAACCCCTCTGAGTCTAATTAGGGACATTCTGCTGAGAAAGCACCCGAGCCAGGGGCTGCCAACATTCCTTTTTGTCCCTTCTCTGGCATGAGAAAAGTGGGGGAATATCAAAGCCAGGCAAGGGGAAGAGTCCACCTCCCTGCAGTATCTCAAATGAGAATCCACTTTACCATAATGGTGCATAAAACAACTAATGTGATTTACTCCCCAGTGTAAAAGAGGCTTGCATATAGATTGGGGTTCCCTGCAGCAATAATAGCAGGGGCTATTAGCTTAATCCTTTAAGTACTGAGCTCACTGACCACTCTTTTTCACCGCCAACCATATGCAAGGACAGCAAGAATTGTTACGAAAGGGGTTTTTACGACTACGGGTCTTCCTCCAGCTTTTAATATGGAAATGATTTATTATGCTCAAAAGGAACATCACATGTGTCTGCAAGAAGCTATATCCCACACTTAAGTTAATTACCCCAGCTTGCCTAGAAGGCAGAGCCGGTGCATTTCCTGAGATCCCTTGGCAAGAACACGCTTTCATTGCAGCAAGAAGGTTTCTAACCTCATTGAGGACTGAGTCACGACTGCCGTCTCCTCCTCTGCATTCTCATCCATCAAAAGCACATATTGTTTCAAGGAACTCTGGCTCTGGTGCATTTTGCCTGAACATTAATAATCAGGTAATATATAACCACAATATTTATGTTTTACTGGTGAGTTAAAAATGGAAATCACACATAGGGCTGGGGCAGCTAAGATTATTTATTTCCACAAAAGGAAAAATGGCTTCAATTTATTTGGTCGCGTAATAAATAGAAGAGCTCAGCCAAACACAAACTCACTTTTTACTCAAATTGTGCATAATGAATTGACCTATCTATATCCTTATCCATCACCAAAGCAATAATGAGCTGGAAGAGATCTTTTAGATCTCCAAGGCCAGTCCTCTGCTATTATGTCCACCGTGTCATGCAGTCCTTTCCCTAAAGGGACAGCGCCCAAGCACTAAAGGGGAGAGCCTGACAGCCTGCTGCAAGTGTTCTCTCACAAAGTTATCAGGTAAGGAGCTGAAAGTCTGTTTCTACCACAAAACGCTGGAGATGATCAAGCACTCCAAGTGAGCCCCAAGAGAAGAGGTTAACCACCCTCCCAGGGGACTAGCACATAGACACAGCTCCCTCTCTAAGGACGCCTCTGTTTAGTCCCAATTCTCGTACAAACGAGCATTTCTCACAGTGTTTGTCCTTCAGAGGCGAGTTAATTAGGCTTCCATATACACACATGCTCCTGGTCACCTCTCTCCCCATGTGCTCAGCATCTGCATACCCACTCCAGCAACTCATTTCTTCCTCCCATCCTCAGCTTCCTGAACACGTGACCACGTTCTTCACATCATCTTCTTCCAAACGTTTCATACTCCGAGGTCCCTATGATATCATTGTCTGTTGCCATCGTACACTGCAATTCTCAGGCTCCAGCTGCTGGAGGCAATGACCCTGTCTACTTAAATAATTTGGTTTACAAATGATAGAGGGAGAAGCACAATAAGCAAGAAAACAAGTATTTAGAGCACAACATGACAAAAAAGGAAAATAAAAGGCCCATATCAAAACTGTGCTACAGTGCTGCGTACACAACCTGCAAGAAGGCACGCTCAGGTTTTACTGAAGGAAAACAAAAACCTTCCCAAGACAACCGCATCCCTCCACTCCCCTCCAGCCACCTTTTGTCTCCTATCCCATCTCCCGCTCAGGCAACTCTTCCCAAAGCTACCGTCCATTAGAGAAGGGGGTTGTTTCTCTTCCTACAAGAGCAACACAAGGAGGTTGTTCCCCTCCCTTCCTCTCCCACCTCTCTGCATCCCTCCTCTGAATTACATCACCCCTCTACTTCAAGCTCTTAGAATTCAAAAAAAAAAAAAAACAAACCAAACTACCTTGTTTCTGCACATTAAAAAAAAAAGAAACAAACCACAACTTATCTCTTTCAGAATAGCTGCTTCTCTGAAGTACTGCAGGCCACAGAGCACAAATTAGGCTATCTGTACATTAAACCAGGTGGGGACCTAACATATAACGCCAGTTAAGGGCTACAACCCAACTCCTATTTCCGCGTGTTTTACTAACTCGAAATAAAAGTGACAAATAGACCCAATCTCATGTTTAAGTCAAAACAAAATTCACAATACTAAAACAGCCCCCATAATTAGCCACACTTACAAGTCAATTAAAATTCAGTTTACACAGCTGACTGCAGCTGCAGGTGGTCAGACACACACTGGAAGTAGCTGCTGGCTGCAGAGCAAATTACCCCAAGAGAGCTCATGCAGGGATTTTCTTTGCAGGTTACCAGTAAGGGTGCCAGAGGAGAGCGAGCGACAACACATACCCATCACTCTCTAAAAACAAATTGTCAATTATTCCATCAGATAATAACAACTACATCGATATCTCGTCCCGTAGCCACGGTGATAAAGCTGTCTTCATGTTAAACACCTAACACACAAGAGAAGCATGCATATAGCAAAGTGCCAAAAACATCACCACAATTCAGGAGAGAAGTTCTCCATTTAAGGACTGACTGGAGAAATACACCCTCTTACTTTTTTTTTTCTCTCTTGGAAATGAAGGCATTAGAAGGCTTGAGACTGCCAATCATTTTATTTCAACCAAAAGGCTCAAAGAACCCTCTTGTAAAATCAGTTGATGATTCATTAGCATTTCATCATCTCACTCAACCAATAGAAAGGAAAAAAAAAGAATTATTAGAATTATTAAAATGTAAAAGAAAGCTAAAGTTCAGCAGAGCCTCTATTCTCATGTAAACTTTGAAAGAGAAACATTGAACTGCATCTTATAGATACCCAGCTTTGTGCTTGCTCATTCTTTAACAGCCTGCAAGAACCATGAACATATCAGTAATACGCTAGGCAGGCCAGTGTACAGAAAGCACAGCGCAAATACCAACCATTCTTCTTGCTCTCAGGACTATGAAGCTCAGCAGCCTAAACCAGGCTTTTAACCCTGATCTACAGACCCCTTCTGAAGAGCTGCAAGGAGAGGCAAGAGGTGACTGTCCATAGCTTAAGTGTCTCATGCAGGGAAACTAACCCTATAAAGGGCGAGTTGTCCCTTTAGGGTGAGTAGTTCTGAAAGACAAAGCACCAGGACCTCATTTTTCCTTTCCAACTTAACAAGCTCCCATTAAGAGTTTTTTAACTGTTGCTGTGGACACAGCAACTCACCACCAAAACCTCAGCAGCAAGAGGTCCACAAGATCCAACAGCCACCTGCTATACCCGTATCTCAGACCACAAGAATGGGCGTATTTGGCATGGGCAACCACCTCAGCTGGCACAAAGACCAACACTAGCAGGGCAGCGGCAAATGCCACAGCTTTCCCTTGCAGAAGCCGCTTCTGCTCACAGGCAGGCCTTTCCTCCAGGCCTTCGACGGGCAGAACCACCTCACGCGGTGGGAGTCAGCAGAGGGCCCCAACCCAGCGGCCCAGTCCCGCTCTGCCCGCCGGTGAGCCTATCCACACACGCCCCATCCTGGCACCTCAAGGTGATGGGGAAATGGCTGCCTTCCCCCCCACACACACCGTGCCACCCAGCCCGCAGCCTCTCCCCGCT